GGTATCGGCGGAGGTAATGGGTGCTTATTTTGAGCATCGATCTGCTTTACAAATTTCTCGTAATCGTGAAATGATAAACTTCTCCTTGCCGTCGGTCTTTTCCATGGTTGTGGTAATGATGAAATGTCCAAATGTTCATTCGATGATCTCGACGTCAATCCTGTAGAATCGCTTTCTTGAGATAAGGACGAGTCGGTATGTGTGTGATGCGATTGATTGAAAGGGGATTCGCATGGAGGACTATCGATTCTTTCGTCTGCGGAAGGACCCGTTATCGAAATTCCCAAATTTTCTGCCTCTTTGTTCAATCTTTCGTCGAATTGCATCTCCGTCGGTATTAGCCCGTCCAACTGTAACACCTCGCGGAAATAATCATCGTCATTGTATTCGATAGGCAGTGCAGCCTCGTATTGCATGTCAAGATGAGATCTGGCGCGCAACGCTGGTAACATTGTTGAAAACCCTTCTCTCTCAACGCGAAGGCAGTTTCTGGCTCTGCGGTCGACACTCATACATATCTAAGGTTGGATGGATCGATTGAGATATGGTACGACTGATATAGAACCGGGTGGGCGATGGACAGCAAGGGTCAATCAATGATGGATGGACCAAGCAAGGCGGGAAAAGCCAATTTGATTTAAGAGATATTCGGAGAATTGTTTGCAAGGAATAAAGTGCTAAGGGTCTTAGAAATTGTGAGGGAATATAACCGTAGCAGTGTTTGATAACAAAAATCTTTTCTTCCTTTCTCATGTAGTTAGCAACACTAAGCAAACATGTAGAGATTTGTGTTGAAAATCTCCCAAAGTTAGGTAGACGATGGACCAAACGATTTATTAGGTAGGGGTGGTGGGTAGGATCATGGATGAGAAGAAACACGATGAAAGTTCGGCTTCCAAGATTTAACGATGAAGGGGTAGAGTAGAGTAGAGAGACATGCATCTGGTGTGCTAATCTGTTCTGTCAACGCCGCCAATCGCCCGACTGCAGGAATAATAATTGCGAATGGGGCAAGACCATGAATCGCACATGTTTATTGGCAGGCGCCTCTTTCCTGTCCGGAAGGAACTGGTGAACGCACCCAGATGATCCATTAATGACACTACCTCGACTACCAAAGGATTAGATATAAGAGAACCACTTTGTGACTATAAATTAGTTTCTACACTACCCTTTCCTAGTCACACTGCGCTACACCACACTCCTTTTTCTTATTCCTTCTAGACGAGCTAGTTTCTAGACGAGCGAGTTACGGGATAGACACAGCAAGGAAAAACTCTATCTGAAGGAAAGTATTTGATGGTATATCCGTTCTCGCTGTGCACTCAGGAAGTATAGTTTAGCAATCATTCCTAATTGTTCCAGTATTCTACTCATATCAAACCCAGACACGCCATTCTCCTTCCCCCTTTGGGTTGGCGCATTAGACAGCTACCGATATGATATCAGATGAGCTCTGAAGTATAAAGTATAGACGATCCAGTTCAACCGCCCACTTCATCCAGGAACAACGCACACCTGATTCGTTCACCGCATGTGCTCTTCGAGCTATAGTGTTCGGACTTTAGACTCTCTCTATGCATACCAGCCAGCCTCCAGCTAATTTCTCAACCAAAGGATTTCTCACAACTGGATAATACATAATAACATACATTAGTCATTTTCATTTTCGAATCACCGATCATCTACATCTATCTAAAAACACTTTAACAATCGATCGGGATATATACGAGTAGAGTATAGAGTATTAAAGACCCCTCAATAGAACACACATCCCCGTCCCTACTAGATAACTAGGTAGGTACTTACAGTTCATTCACATTCACATTCATCCCCATCCCCAATTCCAAATTCCAAATTCAAGGGAAATACGAGTGAAGGATGTCTTATTCATATTCTTAATCTATGACTAACAAACATATCAATCAATCAATCAATCCATCCATCCATCATCATCCACATAATACCCTCAATATTATCCACTCCACCATCCCACCACTCCACCACTCTCCCAACAACACAAACAAAATCTTTCTCCATCATTTGTTCCAGACACCATTCAGACAAGTATCAAACAATCGCACGATAATTCCGCGTTCAGACCGAGGTGCACCGCAATCGCAAATCAGAGGGGCTTTAAGATATACAGAGTACATTAGAGAGGCGTGTCTGATCAGCATGGCGCAAACCTGTAGCCTCTTACAAGTAAGTGCACAGCATGACACTATTCGCTAGCTACCTACCCTCAGCATTGTCACAAGCGGATGATTGAACTAAATATGGCACGTTCCCCGGATCTGCATGGCCGTTTGCTTTGACAAATGAACCAAACCAACCGATCTTGATATATTGAAAGATTTTACCGAGGCCTACGATACACAGTACAGTGTGACGATCGTAGCTAAGAAGAGTGTGTGCTCTGATGCTATCTCAATTGAAAATGTGACAACGGCAATTATAATTCTACAAGGCTTCAAGGTGTCCTGCAAATTGAAGGAAGTATACACGTAGATCTAGATGGTTAAATAAGTATTGTATTTGACATCCCATCCTATTAGAGCATACGAGCAGAGCAGCAAAAGAAATTCGCTTGTAAGCTCAGTTGTTCACCATGTCCAATGTGAGACGTTCATCCTACCTAGATATGGTAGGAACATCAATCAATCCCACGAGGTTGGTACATCTAGTTAACGTGACCACCATTTCTCCTCTCATCGTCATACCAAGTGACAGAGGGCATCTGTGACGAGGATGCGTTTGTTGTTTGTTTACAAAACAAAGTTTAATCTCTACCTTTCCCGTTTGTTAGGGGTGTTGATATGAGATGTGTGTAATGCTTCCACGGCAGGAATAATCAAACTTTCAATCTCAATCTCAGGTTCCCCATCAGGTAGCTCATTTGGATCAAGAGGCTCATCGCCAATCTCCCCTCCCCTCGCTGCAGCACCTACTAAATCTTGAACTCCACTGATTGTCCTCTTTCTCTTGCTCCTGGGAACTCTGATCCATTGATCTTTGCTACCGGGCGCTACGAAAACAACTTCCCATTTTCTGGTAGCAAGTAAATTTCCAATGACCAAATGATGCTGGTAGCGGTTCAAGGAGTATTTTGCCTTGTGAACCAGAATTGCGGGATCAGTTTCAAGCTTGAAAGAAACGATCATGCCTTCAGGAGCCCAGCCATCCACAAGATTTTTGAGGAACTTGGGTACAGGATCCAAATCGACAATTAGACGCTTGCTCCGTGGTACCGCTGGAGAGGAATCGAAATTATCAAAAGCTTCCTCGTCCTCTCCATTACCCTTATCTTCACTTCCATTTTCAGGTGTATTTGTATCCGTTGCATTTGTAGATTGTATTTTGTGTTCCGCCATACGTTGTGGAGGCACGAAGAAATCCGACACAGCCGCAGCCAAATACAATAACCCGCGAGGACCTAACGGGCGCATAAGTTGCGCAATCTCTCGAAGGATGAACAAGTAATCTGTAATTGTCGTAAACGGTAACGTCAAGAGTAGATTCTTCGACTTGGCCGCATTGTACTGTCTAAGAACCTTCAACATCTTCTCGCGATATTCATCGTTTGCGACCACGCTTCCATCGGGCCCTTCGTGAAGGAAATCGAGGAAACAATCCGTAGCATGACTATAATGGCGCGAATAAGGTTGAAGACTGAATTGACGATGGAGAAAGATAACCGCGTAGCCTGATTCCAGGAAATATTCGGCAGAAGTAGCCCCTCGCGTTCCTGCACTAAAATTGTCTATAAATCGCACCGTCTGTCGCTCTAATGGAACAGTTGTTCCTCCTGATGTAACCAATACCACGCGCCTGCCAGCAGCTGCGTGGAAATTGATGAAATCTTCTGCAAGAGAGGTATGCTTTTCAAGGGTCGCTGGTGGAGGATTCTCCGAAAAGTAATCTCGTTCCGCGATTTCCGCGGTGTTGTCTCGTGCCAAGCCTGGCATTGAGCTAGATGTCGACATGGTATCTTGTGAGCTAGAGGAAAAGATCGAGGAGGTCGGTGATGAAGGTCGCGGACTTGAGAGGTTGAAGGAAAGTGTGAAGGTCGAGCTTGATGGTGGGGTTGATATTAATTTTGGGGATGTTGTTGCGGGGTTCGCCAGCCCCTGTTCAACAGCATCTCCAATAGGCGTTGTAAGCTGCGACGACATTTTATCAGTATTCTATTAACTACTCATAAACTCCTTGAATGCAGACCGGCGACTTACCTTTATAATACTGACTTACAAGATATTTGAAACTCCGGCTTTCCTCTTGACCTCGGTCGCCGGTTGTATCGGAGGTCTGTTTTGGTAATTCGGGCGTCCGGATAAAGGACCCATATAGGAATGTTACCTTTTTGTTTCGTAAGAAGATCGATCATCCCTACATTGTACAATACTAGTTTTAAAAGCCAAAGAGCCAACTTTCTACAATCTATGAATTGTGGAAAGCTGACGATACCGACGTCGTACGCAACTTTGGCGTTGGCGGAGGTTTGCGTGGATGAAGCTGTGATTGTCATTGGACTGTGGATATCTGCAAAAGTCGGTCTAAAGTCTATGAACACAACGTCTCATGTCTTTGCATGTCGACGGGAGAAATTGGTACAACTCATGACACAAATGATTTTCTTCGAGACGCTCAGATCCTTCCTACTCAGCTCCGGCTGACAGGCGGGTCTGGGATGGTCGGAATAGCTGTATAGATATCATTCTAGGTGACCAGCAGCACGATACTTTGCGTAACAAGTAGCTCGAAATCTCACATCATCAGAGAGCCCCTTTGGTCGACTATCCAAGGTGTTCATTATGTGGACGGAGATGCAGCATCGCTATCAACAAGTTCATTTCTATTTTCATACTTGCATAGCTATTCATAGATACCATTCTCACTACCGCCTATCATCCCTCTCGTTGTCGATCAAAAATACATGTCTATTCTACAACTTTTACATATAAGGGCATTTCTTGCCGCCCGTCTTATCTTAGCACCAATTAGTTACTGCCCTCGCTGATTCTCCAAGCTCTTAATGGTAGAGCTTGTAATTTCAGAGCTGCTGGTTTGATGTATCCCCAAAATGTAACAGCTCCAAAAATGATACAAATAATATTCACAACATAGTATCCATCTCTCTCGATATCACAAATGCCCCCTCCAGACAAACATCGATCTTTCTCGGCAGCCAAGGCGCAGGAGAAGGTAGATGTGATGAGAGGCCCCTTGAGATCAGCAGCGAGTTTATAATCGGATCCTGGTGGAATACATGTAGCAGTGGTGAAGTAATCAACAAGCTTAAGGACGAAGAAACGAGGGAATGTACCGCCCAAGTTAGAAACGCTGTTTGTTATTAGTAAAATGAAAATTTAAATTGAAAATAGGGGTGCTTACGTAGCGAGCAATGTCATATAAGTTCCACCAATGACGGGATCCGCAATCCTGGCATGGAAAGCTGAGATGGCCACAAACATAACAGTATTGGTAAATGTCGAGAAGATATGTTCCGCAATAACGACAAGTAGATACCAAGTATCGACTCCGTTAGCGGGAAAGATAACAACCGTGATTTGAGCAATAACAGCAGCAATCAAACGACCGACAAACCCCCAACACCATAGGCGTAAAGGTGTGTAGGATGTCGACCATTTTCCGGCGTAGTACCCCAACCCAATCTCGAAGGGGAAGTCAATAAGAACTGTCAAAGCCATATCTTCTTGACTGAATCCTTTGTCTATGAGTTTGAGATTTGTAACTCCATCATTAGCTTGGAAACCAATCTTCGCAATCAAGTGGATAATGATGATCGTTTGAATATTCTTGAGCTTGAGAACTCCCCACATGACCTTGTAAACATCCCAGATTCCATCCTCGTTCTTGGTTTTCTCTTCACGCTTCAAAAGCGCGAGGCCAAGAGTAACAATTATGTATGTCCAACCCCAGAATGTGAGGTATCCTCCCAAAGTCATAACTCCTTCGTCAAGGGGAGTCTTTCGGAACCATTTGTTGGCGAAATCTGGGGCATTAAAAGCTAGGAAAACTGTGAAAGACATGAATTGTCCAGCTGTCAATCCTACGGTCTGGGCGGTCGATGCATATGAAATGTTTCCCGGTGACAATAAGGTGAGAGCCCATCCATCGACGGCGATGTCTTGTGTGGCGCACATAAATACCAAAAAGAACCACCATCCAGTGAAACCCCAAATTCCTGCTCCATCATTTGCTCCAGCTGTGATCATCATTTCCTTAATCTGAGAACCTAGCCATATCATTCCTAATCCTGATAGTATTTGGATTGGCATGATCCAACTCTTTCTTCTTCCTACTTTAGGACTCCATATTGCATCCACTATTGGACTCCAGAGGAGCTTCAAAGAGTATGGATATGAAGCTAAGCTGAAAACTCCCAAAGCGCTGTACGACATGTGTGGTTTGAGTAGAAAAGGTACCGAGCCGGTCGCGAGACCCATTGGAACACCCTGCAAGAAATATAATAGGACTAGAAGAAGAAAGTTCCGTTTGTCCTGCATTGGCAATTCGGAAAACCCATGGTTGTTGAGGGTAGGAGTCTTCGGTATAGGATCATCTAACGTAAAAGACTCGCGCGACATGAGATTCGCAGTCACACCCGGAGAGTCGAGGTTCGCATTTTTGCGCCGGTACTCGACGTTGCCATTCATACTGCCCTTTTGTGATTGAGAGTCTTCACCTCTTGTGGCAGAGGAAGAGCCAAGTGGCTCTGGAACTTTGCCTTTACGAGAGCGAGTACCCATAGAATCCGATTCAATAACCTCCTCCTCGTCTTCGTCTGTAGAATCTTGATCGCCGAGTAAATGTTTCGAGTCTTCTGCCTGTGTTGCGCCGTGCAAATCCAAATGCAAATGAGGTTTAGATTTAGATTTAGAAGAGGAAACGTTTCTGTGGCGTGAAGTAGCTGTTGATAAGTCGTCTAGTTCTTGCGCGTAGGGAAATTGAGGATCGTGATGTGCAGGTAGATGAGAATGTCGTGGATTACCTGAAGTAGATTGAGAAGTTAATGAAGGAAGTGTATCACCCAATGGAGTAGGCATCCATATAGTATCTTTAATTGAGAAAACTCCAGAGGTCTTGTTGGCCTCTAAAGTGTCCTCTTTTAAATTTACTCGAAGGTTTAGTTTCGTTAGTGGTAGTTTGTACGAGATAGTGGATTGATTGATTGATTGATTTGATTGATTTGATTACTCAAGATCCCATTCCTGCGGCGAAAGAGCCATGGACACAGGCTTTAAGGCTCGATTTTTCAGGGTACGAGGGTGCGAGGCTGCTTCTGAAACGAAATGTGGCTTCTTCGGCGAACAACGCCGCTGAGGGACTGAGGGACTGAGGACTGTACAAAGGATTCGAAGAGAAAGGTTTGGGAATGTCAAAGAGTTGCATGGGAAAGAAGGAGAGGAGGGGGTGAAAGTCTATCAATAGATATTATATATACATATTCCTTACTTTTTAAGAGAATCTATCCATCTACTCTGGAACCGTGTTTTACTTACTCGTACTACCCAGATACTAGATATGATACATCTGAGATCAGAACCATAGGGATTGGGAAGAAAAAGTCTAGGCTATAAATTTAGGGTAATCAAATGCCTAAAACAAACAATGCTATCCCCCACGAAACACGTGAAATGGCGATGAAATGGCATGCGACGCGACAAACATGAAAATCAATGTCAATATCAACATCAACATCACCATCCAAACATCAACAAACATCCCGAGCACAGAGTGGGAAAGAAACATATTTCCGATATCTTATCCTACACATTGATACCTCCACCACCAATCATGAGAAGTTCACGCTCTTCCCCACAATCCGTAGGGTTCAATTCGAATTCAAACATGGACATAACGGAAGAAATTATTAGTCCTCAAGACGCGGCTGGCATAGAATTGGATAATGAAATAGCTTCACTACAGGAACAAAGTGAATCACATTGCCCCATCTCAATTCTACCACGACATGTAGCTAATCAATCCACAGTCGCATCATTAAAAGATCAACGTCGCCTTCAAACGGCTACTATCCTCTCTTCTCAAGCTTCGAAATCCATTTTGTCGAATTTACGAAAGTCTTCCTCCAAAACGAAATCCCCCCAGTTTACTACTCCTACAGACTCCGATCCACTACTTGCGACTTCGGCAGCTCAAACAACCCATAATCTCGAGAATCTATATCGCGCATGCGCATCAATTACATCCTTCCAAATTCAAGATCCGGACCCGAACGCTGTAGACAATGGGCATGTATTGGGAATTCGAATTGAAGCAAGCAGTTCTGGAAAATTTGTTCGGCCTTATTATGTCATGTTAAATAAGCCATATTCTGGATCAGCAGCACTGAGAATCCATCGGCACACAGTGCCTCCATGTATCCCTTTGGCTAGCCTGGCCGCGAAATATTTGCCTGCTCCTAAAGTCGCTGAGGGTATCGTCAAAGAGAAACGACAAGATTTGACTGCGTTTGTACGGAAATTACGACGAGAGATTACAGGTTATCATTTGCGTGTGGCATCCATCAAGCATCTACGAAAAGGGTTCTCTTTGGATGAGAAATTAAGCAGCAAAGGAAAAGAAAAGGAGCGAGAGATCGCAGATATCAGTGCTGCTGATGCAGAAGCAAAGCAAGTGAGGATTGAGTGGATAGATGGCAAGGTCGGTAGATGCGTTGTAGGAATGAATGGGGAAGTCGTCAAATGTGTCATCATCGGAGAAGATGGGCGTGATCGTGAGACGGAAAGAAGGGTGTTGGGCGGCGATAAAAGAATGGAGGGAATCGCTGACAGATTGATGGAAGGTATATATTAAGAGCTTAAATTTGAGCTTGGAGGTTGGGGGATAGAGGAGTTTATCGCTTGTTGTTTACAAATACCCCGGGACTTAAATGCTCTGCACCACGGCATTCATTAATTTTCACTACGGCTGCTTCTTCCAACTAAGATTAAATGTGATCCATCGCATTGAATGAAGGGCATGTTGCTGAGCTGGAACGTAAGGTATTTACCGAGTGACAGGGAAACGAGCTTGAAGGCCAGTCGACTTATTCCAAGCACCAGATACCATAAAGGGAACTCGGTGACATATAAGAGCTCTTGTAGAGATTCTGGAAGGCGCTCTGTAGAACACTTTTAGCGAAGTTTCTGCTGGCCCAACTTCAATAAACTGACTATTGTTGATGTAAGCCAGACTTTAACTTTGCGGATGATCACATACTTGTATGTGACTTATAGCAACTGAATGACATTTTCGCTAAATATTGAGACAGCAGGCATTCAGCTACACACGCGCGCTCACAGCTGATCGACACTCATCGATCAGAGCACCATCACACGTTTTAAGCTGTCAGTACATCCTCCTTCTTCGCTGCAGTTTCAGATCCTATAGGCTATACCGGTAGGCCGGAGGACAAGCTGGGGTCGACGGATGAATTGGAAAGTGGGATCACGTGATCGTTTATATACTGATCCAATAATTTAAACCTAATCTCCACAAACTACGCCATAATGGTACTTAATCTATCACAGGTGTTCCCTATCAACGCCACTTCTGGCTTTTATTCTGAAACACTCGCTACTGTATACGGTTCATTTTTAAGTCTTCACTCTCATCCTGTGATGCGCGCGGGTAAAATGTACTGGATGTACTCCACTTTCCGTCTAATTCCTTCTATTTTCAACAAGGGAGAGACCTTTGAGTGGTCCGAGCTCTAGATAGCTCACTTCTGCGGCAAGGTTAATTCGAAGAAAAGCCAAAGTTCTACTACACATCGTGCCCTGGGATCCTACGTACAAAGCTCACCTCGCATTCGACCATTCGTATGCTACAACCATTGAGAACTCTCCATTTGAGTCCAGACCCATTCCATCAATGAGTTGCCTCGAAGTCTCCACTCAAGTGAGTAAAGATTCAAGCTCAAAGTTCACGCTTGAATGAGGGTAAGGACGATGAAATGTAATCAGCCTTATCTATTTATGAATCCTGTTGGTAAGAAAAATCTGCCGGCAGGCCTTCCATAAGGCATTGCCTCCAACAATCAAGGCATTATTTGTATCGGCCATGTCTATCTAATAATGTATTTCATGCCTTCATTCTCCACTCTTGTAATGATGGCAGGAACAAACCCATCACTACGCGCCGTTTGAATGGATTCTGGTCAACGACCTCAACATAATCTATAATCGCAGTTCTAAGTAGCTCTTCGCGCGTATGAAATTGGTTCATACAATTTAATGACTTTGGAACCTTGAATCGTTCTTTGCTTTCCTTTGTCTTTTCTCACTGCTTAGAATTTGGCCGTCACTTTTCTCTATATATATTCCACTCTTATACACGGCCGTCTTGTAGGCCATTTCTCAACATGGATACAACAACTTCTACTTCGCCGTCGACTACATTAGCAGCCGATAGTATAACGCAAACAAGTACGATAGAAACCACTGTATCGAATACACAATCTACAACTTCATCGCCAACCGGGTCCAGCCAACATGCAACAACAGACTACAACTCTCTCAACATTGCTATAGGAGTCGGAATAGGAGTCGGTATCGCATTGGTTCTTCTGATTATTGCTTGTGTCCCCGTGTTCAAGTGGTGGAAACGACGCCGACAGGCTGCTCATGGACAATTTCAATATAATCATCAAGCACCATCGCATCAGTTTCAAAACCAATATCAGAATCGATTTCAGGTGTATCATCAGCCGCCCCGGGATATACAAGCTCCTTACTTTTATCCAGAGGCAGCTGGCACGAATCGAACTTCTACGATCGGATGTCCGCCGGGCTTTCATCTAGAAACGGCAGATGTTACTTTCCAAACTCCAGCTAATAGACTACCAAATTCTTATCCAGAGAGCGCCGATAGCGCTTATCGAAATCCTTCGAATCGATATACCCCGAACTATTTTCCAGAAGCAGTTGGAGTGGATCAAATTTCTACAAATACATTCCCACCAAACTATTTCTCGGGGACCATTGGAGCGGATCAGAATTCTGCGAATAGCCTTCTACCAAACTATTCTCTGGAAGCAATTGGAGTGAATCAGAATTTTGCGGATAGAGGTCCTTCCATCCTTTATCCAGAGAGCGTCGAAAGAGTTTATCGAAGTCCTACGAATAGACGTACGGCTGTGTTTGAAATGAGTGATAAGAGGCAGACGGATTCGTGGGTTAAAGAGATGATGATAGCTAATCAAGAAGAGTTATGGATGGAATCGCCCATACGATAAGATAATTGGGGATATATGTCTCGTTTTACCGGGGATGAAAAGGTGGGTTGGAATAGATTGCTGTTGTATATATCATATTTCTTTTGTCTCTACTACCGCGAAATTGTAATGCATGCATTTAGCGATGGGTTGGGGAGTTGGGATGTTCATTCGCGAAGGGGAAACTGTTTGTTGGAAAGAGGGGATTCGATGGACGTGATAAGATACCCAGGGATGTTGAAAGATATCAGAATACAATCAAAATTACAAACCTTCTACAAGCACCCTTCTTTATTTTGTTGATACGCGTACTTCCAGTTTTGCAGCTACAGAGTAGCATGAAGGCACGTTAGCGGTGTCGTTTTCATATATGGAGACTCTCGACAGATGCAGAGACAAAACTTTTCTATTCGAAAACTCATCATGTAACAGCGTGTTTAAGTAAACTCTACACTGTACAGCATGATTTCTAGTTCACTGCCAGTTCACAGCTATCTTCAAAACGCTACCTACATACATTACATTTTCATATCCCTCCTTGCATCTTTTCAGGATCCACACACACACACACACACATCTTCTGCTCTCCATCCCAAACCTGTAGATAGACTCGAGGAGAGAAGCTATGTGATGCATTTTTCTGGGTTTGATTATATAGGGGGTTTCATTGTTTGAATATATGAATAGTATTGATTGGAGGATTATGTGCAGTGAGTGCAGTGAGTGCAGTGCAGTGAGTGAGTGAGTGTATTGTATTCAGGATCTTACAAGGAAGCTTTGAGAGATCTTTTATGATTTGGGTTTTCGTAGGGGGTAGGTACGATATATATACTAGGACTAGCTTGGGAGTTTTGAGTTGGGATTGAAATGTTGAAGGGGTAGGGAGTAGGGAGTAGGGAGTAAATAAAGGAGTGTAGATTTCTCCTGAAGAACCCTACCCAATTAGGGAATTTTGTTGATGATGGGGGAAGATGTGATTTTATTGTTTGTTTGTTTGTTTTTGTCATCGAGATGGATTTTGAAATTGAGATGGATGTTGGTTGGGGATAGTTGGGGATGAGTATGAGTATTAGAATGAGTATGAGTGTGAGTATCTTCAAATCATTCCTCATTTCCTATTGATTATCCTAACTCTTATAATTATTTTTTTCTGGTTTGTTTTTTGTTTGAGTTTATAGTTAAAATAGTATTATACTTTACTTTATTTTACTATATTTTATTATATTTTATTATATTTTACTATATTTTACTATGTTTTACTATATTTTACTATATTTACTATATTTTACTATATTTTACTATATTTTACTATATTTTACTATATTTACTATACTTTTTATATTTTACTTTATTTTATTTTATTTTACTTTATTTTTATTTTATTTTACTTTATTTTACTTTATTTTACTTTATTTTATTATATTTATTATATTTTACTTTATTTTATTATATTTTATTATATTTTATTATATTTTATTATATTTATTATATTTATATATTTTATTATATTTTATTATATTTTATTAGATTTTTATTATATTTATTATATTTTATTATATTTTATATATTTTAGTATATTTTATTATATTTTATATATTTTTTATATTTTATTATTGTTATTATATTTATTATATTTTATTATATTTTATTATATTTTATTATATTTTATTATATTTTATTATATTTTATTATATTTATTATATTTTATTATATTTTATTATATTTTATTATATTTTATTATATTTTTATTATTTTATTATATTTTATTATATTTTATTACATTTTATTATATTTATTATATTTTATTATATTTTATTATATTTTATTATATTATTTATATTATAAGAAGAAGAAGAAGAAGAAGAAGAAGAAAAGACTTGTATTCTAAAAACATGGAATGAATAGAATGATATGATATCATATCATATCTATGAGTTTGGAGATAGAGAACTATGTAAACTACTTAAATTTCGTAGTGTGGATGATTGATCGAGAGATGAATCAATATTGGAACGTGAATGGAATGGAATGGAATGGGGAGGGGAGGGGAGTAGGTAGGTAGGTAGGTTGGGTGGGGGGGGGGGGGGGGGGGGGGGTGTGGTGGAGATTGTTTGGGGTGTTTTGTTTATTTTGGTTTTTTTTATTTATTTATGTAGGTAGGTATAGGTGTTTGCGATGGTATGCGTGGATTTCTGATATTTGGTTTATATTGTTTGTATGGGTCTGTAGGTTTGATATTTTAGAAATAGACAGGTAGGTAGGATTATGAATTATGAATAGGATGATCTTATTTACTTATTTACTTATTTACTTGCCATTTCCACATCTCGATCTTGTTTTCATGGGGATATCTCACTTGTATATATGCACATGTATCACTCTTTGAATAGGAAGGGAGAATACGTACATACCTAGTTGGATGAGTTTTCTTTCGGGGTGTGAAATGAAATGAATGATGCTGGTTATTGGTTTTAGTGTGGCGGGTGGGAAGAGGAGAGGAGAGAGGGCTTGGGGTTGGGTTTGTATGGATGGATGGATGTGTAGGTGGATGGGTAGGTGGGAGAGGAGTTGCATATATTGTATTGTAAACGTGTTTATGTTTATGTTTGGGTATGGGTATGGGTATGGGTATCGGTATGTGTACATATGTAGGGAGAATGGTGTTTATGGATGATGCGTGGTGGATGGATGGATGGATGGAGGGTTTGCGATGATTGATCAGCGATGAAGGAATGAATGAATGAATCAATGAATGGATAGATAGATGGATAGGGCATAGATTAGGCAGTGACAGGATGTACGAAATATATTAAATGAGTACGTTATTGTGTACTTAGACACAGTGCTTGCTCGGCAGTGAAAGTTTGTGTGCTTATTAAGAATGGTACGAAATGTTCACTTGGGTCTTACATATAGCTGTTTGATTGATAATCCGAGAAACCTTTAGGAGTGCAATGGGTAGGGAAAACAGATAATGGTAAGTGTGCGGGAACTCGGGTGCGGAAATCAAACTCCTGATCAGTTTCCTTAGGAGGGCACAGGAATGGCATGTTCTCACGCATAAGAAAAACAAAAGAAAAATCAATAAAAACCATCAAATCTAGTAGCACAACCTATTCTCATCCATCAAGTCATAAACCACTCATCGCACACGAATCAACGTAACACGCGCTGCAGAAAATCCGTCCCACAACCCCTTACACAACATGATTGAACGAACTGCATAATATGGATACGATACTGCCAATAGGCGAGTGCGAATATGCATAGGGGATACGGACATTGGCGATGGTGTTTTGGAGGTTAATTTGGGTAGGGCTAGCGGTGGAGAGATGCGGTGTGAGGATGCGGTGCGACGTGGGGTTTGGGGAGGAAAGGAAGGGAAAGGAGAGGAATGAAATGGACGATGGAGGGAAGGAAAGAAGATAAGCGTGTGCGCGGGTATGTGCATTGGTGGTGAGAGGGCTAGGGTGATGGAAGCGTAAGCGTGTGATTGAGTGAAGGGGGTTGGAGAAGATGGGGTTTGGGTAATGATTAGTCTGGCGTAATATATGTTCATTGAGGATAATCTGTGGGATATATGAGCTTGAATTCCACTATGATTGAAAAACGCTGTGTCAGAATAGTTACTCAAGAAATGAATAATAGAGTGATATTCCCCTCCCCCTCCTCCCATCGCATGATCTGAAAAATGTTAGCGAGCCGGTACCGGGTGTCACTGTAACTCACTTCGCGCCGCCCATTCCATCTCATCATCGATCTCCACTGAAAGAAGGCAGAATTAAACTTCCACCCGCACGCACAAAGTATTTAGAGGCATTCCAGAGCCTTCTAGTAACACTGTTGTAGCACAGCGTAATATCTTCGCGAATGCGAATGCGGATGCCAAGTTGAATCCAATAATTGAGCAAGTTGAACAAGACGCAACGATTGAACGCTTCACCGATCAGACATAAACAGAGCCAAGACTATAGCCAAGATAAGCAATCAAGTAAATGTCAATTGGTATCATTAATACTATCAGTGTTAACTACAATGAAAACATAAAGACTGGAGAACAATTCATCTAACCATTTTGCGCACGCCGAGTAGCAAACACCAGGCTACCGCATAGTAAAACAATCAGCCCGCTGGTTCATTCCAATACCATAATCGATTGAGTAATGAACAAGGGGAAAGAATGGCAAAAGTAAAGACAAGCAAACAGGCAACCACCCATCCCAAATTTCTTGCGATCGCAATTCTCACAAAAGCCACCCCTCTCGCCGGAAACACACATACACTTAGACACCACGAACACCTCCGGAACAAACCAGCCAACCAACCAACCCTATCCCCATCCATCCATACCCTTACACCACCACATCAAATAGAGTAGAGCCAGAAATACATGAAAAGTAGAGCGAACAGATTGCAAACCAGAGTATAAGGTAGACAAAAACTGAAGCTGAATAAGAAAAGAAGCGAACCAAATGAAACTTGTAAGAGAAGACAGACCGGTCTAGAACAAAATGGATACGAAGAGCAAGAATCGTTTTGAAACAAGATTGTGGTACAGGACAGATTTTTTTGGTGTTGTTTGTTAGAATGTCGTGTGCGTACCGATGTCGGTAAAGCTCTCGAAGGTAGAATAGAATGTCGCTGCCAGCCTAGGTACCGGCAGTTTGCATTAAACGTCTCGCCAATTTGCGACTTGGAGAGCGGTAGCCAATCTATTCTGATTTCGTGAGGTTTGATGGTGCAAAAAGGAGTGGTACAGGATACCTAATCGTAGTAGTCGGGATCGGTAAAGCAATGCGAAATGAGCAATGAAATTCGTGAACGTGCAAAAAAAAGATGAAATTGAAAAGTCGGAGAAGTCGTAGTCGTATCAGTGCAGTTATCTGTATCAAGTAATCGCCATCGTAAACTCATCGACAACAACCGCTGTTATAATAAAGGAGATTCGGTTATAAATTTCCGTGGTGTTCGAGAAAGGGGAACAATATAAAGAAATGGATGTCTGTGGTTGGCCAATAGTAACAAATCGGCAAGCTTATGGTGTCCCTGCATGGATTTCATGCAGGTGGCCACATTCTCGTCATATTTGATTTCTGGGGGGGCAAATCGCAACACGGGAACCGAATCGATTTGAGACATTTTCGGATCCTATCACCCAGGTTGTCAGTGGCTGTCATTCATAACTTTTTTCTGATATCAAACGACTAGGCATAGAAAATTTCCTTCACCGCACTCAACATCTTCCACAAATTCAACTGATGTTTGGTAACAGTTTGTTTTGTGATGTGATAGAGATGACACAATCTTATCCCGCCACATGGCAAAAACGAGAGAAAAACGGGGAAAACGAGGCAAACCAGGAAGACTTACCAAAGGATCATTTTCCAACTGCTTCCCCCACACCCCACCAAGAACCATGGTAAGATTCCATGAGAAAGTTCCAGACAGCGACGAGATGCTCAATGCGGTAACAGTATGTGAGACAAGGTTATGCCTTCATTGAGCAATTACGACAGGTCTTGAGTTTGCAATATTTACACTCGTAGATGAACCAATGAGGTCCAGAATGACACATCGAGCAAATCCACTGGATGAGTGTAGATTCTGACTTGAGAACATTGAAAGAATGACTGCAATATGTGGGAACAGCCATTGCGTTAAGTGTGTGTTGAGCTTTGGTGATGGATTTGAAGAAATTCTATGACTGAAAAAAATATCAGTATTCATCTGCAACGACAGTTCGAAGAATAGAGCTGTGATAACGGAAGCCATACATACTGATTGGGTGCGGAGAATCTGCTGAGGTAGCAACGACGAGAAGTGAAGAAGAATGGAAGAAGTTTTCCAAATTGGAGAACTGAGGTGTGTTGTTGAAGTTGTTGTTCAAGAAGTAGGGGGAGAGCAAATAGAAACTGTGAAGGAAAGTTGAGAAACCAGACAAGGACTTCGGCTGAACTCTCAAAGATGGAAAATATTCACTAGATCAAATTCTAATCGGAGCCAAGAATTGTGAAAGTGAACATCAAGCTTCGAAGTCAATGTATTGAGACGAAAATCCGAACTTCCTGTGTGTTTAAATTCCCAAGCGAAGATGTGTGATGGTGAATAGTGTGCAAAGATTGTTATCGCAGTATTGAATATGAAGGAAAATCCCAAAAAACAAAAGTCCTCTCCAAACTAGCGGTCACGGCGAGCCTTTTTATATAGTGAATAGTATGAGAGAAAATACCTAGTCAAGGGTACTCTGATAGATGCAAGATGAGATCGATCGAGTTTTCTCTTGTGTTCTCGGATTGGCCTTTTTCCTCTGAGTGTAGCGTTCAAAGGATGAATTGAGTGGATGAAATTGTAGCCAGCAAAGTAGATGGTTTGTTTGAGAAGTATATATGAGATATTTTTGTGAAGGGGAAAAGTATAAGTTGATTCGGATGAATGATGTTGAACGTATAATGAGGCTGCTGTGGGTATGAAGTGGGTTTCCAAGCGAGAAAGCTGAGAGTGTGTTTGATGATATTTGAGAGTGACCTATGGCATTGGTGATAAGTACTTTTAAGGCGGTTTCTATTTCAGATAGTCGTATGGATTCGATAAAGTTTGCTGAGTTTGCTTGCTTCGTTGGTTTGATTGCTATCCTGTTTTAGTTTCTTGGAAATGATGTCCTGGAGAAAGATGTACCGATAAGTATTGCAACCATGGGAATTGCAACAAGCAAGTCGGAAGTACACTTGAAATGTAGCAGAGCGAAAGGATAATTGCATGTGCTGGTAACGGCTCGGTATATCGTTATGGACGGAGAAGATTTTTAGCCAGTTTGCTAATCTGCTAATCTGCTAGTCTCCTAGTTTTGTGGCCGTCGACAGAAGAAGGGACCAGCAAAGAGCTGTAACCAAAGCAGACAAGGGGGGTCAGTCTTGAGCTAGTAAAACGTCAAAAGAAGGAAGTCGAAGTTGACTAGGTAGTTATCGGCCAAGAAACCATGTCCGCCTGTCTGTCTGTCTGAAGAAGCAATGCTCCGTATATGAGTTACTGGTAGATGATGCCCACTTAGCTAGCTAGCAAGCCATCAGCATTGAAGTTTTTTCGGTCCCGGCCCATCTACATCTGTCTGTTGTATATGATCTGTACCGTGGACTGGAAAGAAAAGGTTAAGGGATCCTTGAAGAAGGGCAGGGTGTGCAAAGTAACGTGCAAATCGCAAATTGCAAAGATACAAGTGTGGGTTTAAACCTTAAATACACGATGGGATTACCTGAAAGGTCATAGTATATGGGTCCATAGGTTCGAGAACATGTGCTTAGTGGGGGGGGGGGGGGGTTAGGAGAATCTACCGTTGGGCTGAAAGGTATGCGAGAGGGACCATATTGAACCAGGGGAAAGGTTCACGATGAAGAATACTGGGGAATTTCGAATTTATGGTAAATGTGGGTTGATTCTGTATAATATGGTGGTATATCTACAGCTGACCCAAATGCACTTTCCTTCCTATTAGCTTTCCTATGAGGGATCACATCGAAATTCTTAAACAGGTCGCACCCGTCTATGATATACTGTGTTAATGTGACATTTTTAACAAGAAAAAGTGTAATCAGACAGATGCATCACGATACAATGGTACAATGATGAATCGGGCGTGGTATACCATACAGAGTAGTTAAGTTTGTATATTTCATCTGACGCCTCATTGAAAATAAACATTCGGAAGAGGTTCGACATCTAACCGGGAAATTCTTTTGGGAGGCCCGAGGTACGAATTCAAGATATTTGCCTTTTCGCGGAAGACGGAACGTGTTTGATGAGTCTCCATCAAGCAGTGTAGAAGAATGCCAATGTTTGTTATATCATGCTTAGACATCGAGAGGTGGACATGGAGAGAGTTGAGGTAGCTGGGCACATAAGATTGAATGGCTGTGTAGTCAGTCGTCTTAGGTTAAAAAAAGCGAGCGAGATACAATGATAAACGACGGGGACATAGCCAACCTATCAATAGTTCGTCGAGCTGAAAGATGGGATTTAGATGAAAGTAGGAAATGGTCAAAGAGTCATTAATTACCATCTCCAGCTTCCTATCCTCCTTCCTTCATTCCAAGATTATCCTCAAATTCTTGATTGTGCTAATATCAGGGTATATCGTCGTGTTCTGACTAGAGGTATACGAGTACCGGTATGGTGTAAGTTCTTGTAAAGTGGGGTCCGGATCTTCTCTGACTTGATTTACGGAAGCTTGCCGCCGTCTTATTAACTATAAATTTGATTATGCGTCTTTTTTGAGGTCGGTTTTGAGTGACCGCGGAGGGAAAGGAGGGATCCGAGGTTTGAGTACGCGGTTTGTCAGAGAGTAAAGGACTGTTGTCACGATATCCGATCTGACTGCCATGCAGACATGATCATTTGTTGGTTTTGTGAGATAATCCGTCATCATAACCATACAAGTACATGAGAACTGGGGTCTAAATAGTAGGGTATGCTGGAACCAAATATCATCAAGTCTGGTAAACATGTAGGTCGTTGAAAGCGGTTATGATAACACTTAGCTTACCTTGCTGCTTACCTGAATATTCTTACATTACTCCAACCACGATGATCAATTTGAAGTTTTTGACAAAAGAAAACTTAAGGTCACAACAAGCTATGTGTTGCACAAAGCTAGACCGGATAATCGCTATGGAAGGACCATGATTCGATCAGGGATGAGAATGGATAAAAAAATATCCCGGAGAGACTTTCCTCGTGGCATTTGTTAGGGATGTCGATTAAAATAACAAGGATTTTTGGGTGGAGGTAAGGATTATCAGAATCTGCATGGTGAAGGAGTAGATAATTGGTAACCGAGGCCCGTTGAGGATATTTGTAGATGCTAGACACTATATGAGTAATTGTCAATGAAGTGGGACGCTAGTGTAACAGCGAAGGAAGGCAACAAAGTGCCAAAAGGAAGATGATCTAGTTCGGCTTCCTTGGAATGGAGTCGTCTAACTCGATTCCATTCAATGCCTGGGAAAACGTAAAGGCGAATGGGGAAGTGGTAAACGAATGATCCTCGAAGATAGTGTGTGTGATACAAATTGTAACACGGCAGATGAGATTTCTTGCTATTCAGGTAGGTGGACTAGGTAGATTGGGTGGTAAGAAGTGAGATCAGGTTGACATTGATTAACAATGACATGTCTAAGCCATCGAGCATCTTGTCCTGGCCAATTTCCTTAAAAAGAAGGGGCAGGAGGAGATCGGTAGGGATGTTTTCAGGAATGTGACCATGCTAGTTGCCATGATGGACCGACCCGTTGTGTAGTCATCACGGATCATTGATCGTATGTAAGTGTGAACGGCTTCAGAGCGGAACGGCAGGGCTGTAACGGTATTTTTTTGTCTTTCAGCCATCGTCTTCTTTTGACACAAACCAAGATTGGCAAACAGTCGTAATCATTTAAGAAGCATTCATTTGGTGAAAGTATATTTAACGAAGGTGTCATTAGCGGACAATTTAGATAGTCAAACGTACGATCTCCAATCATTCGGAGGTTTTGATAAACTCCATCTCCAGGAAATCACGGGAACAAATGTGTCCCCATTATTTTCATAATTAAAAAGCGACGCATGGGGAGTACCCAGTAGGTGCAGTAGAAAGGTCCCAGCACTGAGGAGTCGGTAAAGAAGAATTGTCACCCACATAAGACAGGTGCAGCTTGCTTTGACGATCATTGCATCTGCAGCAGACTGGAAAATGTTTCGGTCAAAGAGTGGTGTCGCAGTGTTTGAGTTTGATTGAAAATACATACGTACAGATATAGAAATTGGAGAGATGCGTTGAGGTCATGAAGAGAGCAGAGGTCATTCGCATCTAGCAAGCATATATTTATATTGGTAGGCACGAGTAAATAGACGAGTTAGACTGGCGACTAGGTTTGGATAAAGACACTTGAAATTACACGACATCGATTCCCATTAGTTACCATTGTATTCTAACTAATCAGATCACACACAACTCATGTTATGCTATTCATGTATTGGATGAAGTACGTTATTCAATAAAAACTGACTGACTTCATTCCGCAGATCGCTGTAGCAAAATCCTAAGCAACGAAAGCGTCTCGAGGATTATGCTGCTTCATGCTGTCATACTTCGAGACAGTGAATGCGGAGACTCAAGGTGAGATTTTAGAAACGAGGATATGAAAGGGGCAACGGAGGGTTACTTTGAAGCTTATTATGACTGCCACCTAGAAGCTTGATGATGTCTACACGGACTCGCACGACTCGCTCTCGTAGTGAGACCTGAGTATAGACACGCGTGTGGAATAGGTGATGTGATGTGATGTGATGATATTCGTTTCCCCTACCTAGTCATTCGAGCAGGAGGTGATTCCTCTGAGCTGATTCCATCTTATCATCTAAGCCATTTCTAATGAAGAAGGACATGA